CAGTCGAATCGCTCACAGCAGCAATTCAGAAAGGAGGCTGTGAGTGAGGTGCTGGATTTTCCGCAATGCTGAATCGTCTTGTTTTTTTTTTTTTCTTAATGTCACACAACAAATCTTTTTTTTTTGAGGGGGGCGTGCGGCAGCAGGCGGTTGTGGTGCCCCGCAGCCGTTAGCGGGGTTATTTACAGCAGTGGCGGAGGGATCAGTCTATAAGTCCCCCCCCCCGGGCAGTGCACCAATCGTCCCACTCTGCTGGCTGCGCAGAGGCGTAGACCGAGCGATAAGCAAGCAAGCCATGTGTAAGCACAAAGCGCCTGGTCGAGAGCCCGGTGTGCCGCACGAACGTGACAATCCGACACTTGGTTCCATTGGAGGTCAGGTCTCCCTGCCGTCTTTGTTCGGGGTTATATTTCTTGTTCCCTCTTATAATAGAGGTTACGCCTTTGAAGAGAGAATGGCAGAGGCAGAGAGAGAGGAGGAGAGAGACAGAGAAGCATTCGCGGAGAACCCGGCTGTGCTCCTATATTGTCCATTCACAACAAAGTGCCCAGTCACAAAAAAAGAAAGAAGTCGAGTCAGACAGAATTTTGAAGCCATGTAGTGATTCCCATATCAAGGCGAACAAGAAAGGCCCGAAACAAAACGTTGGATACCCCCCTCTAACTTGAAGTAATTATGGCGCAAAAAACTTGGAAGACTGGAAGAAACTCGAGTTTGGACAAAACGCGGATGGTCTCGAGCTACCGATTCTTTCTCCGCTAAACAAAAAAACGTCATTTGGTATCGTTGAGAAGAATTGTTTGCCGCATTTTTTTTTTTTTACATCCTAGGGCTGGTTGCTCAAAACGAAGCGATGAAACATGAGCTTCAAAACTGGACAATATTTGATACATCTTGAGCAACAGAGTTTTTCTCCAATAAAACAAAAAACCCGTCGTGGACATTCAGAGCCACAGGGCATCACAGACAGCGATAAGTAAGTCCGGGTGTCGGCCATGACCAGGCGGGTTGGCAAGCATTGGTGTCGCACCGACACTGCAAACTCAGCGAGCAACATGTGATTTAAGTTCTCCGGTCTAATGCAGGGAAAGCCGAAAAAACGCTGCCGTTGACAAGAGAAATAGTTTCACGTCGATGACTCTCGTATTGCTTGCATCGCAAAAGCGGTCTGTAGGTGGCAAACTTTAAAGTGAGTGACGAAGTCTCCGATACTCAGGGAGTCTAGCAAGCAGCTGGCAAGCAGCCTGGTGATCCCGTTCGCACTTTCGATTTTCGATGTCCATCTACTCAGTTTATCGTTTGGTTTTTTCCATACCGAGAAACTTTCGCAACACAAATCCTCCATACCGAACCATGAGTACGTGCCCACCCCCGAACCGTCGGCATTGTTGTCTGCCCGTCACCCCCCCCGACGAATGCTCCGTTACAGATTAAGCAGGACGTGCTTGCCATGATCGTGCAGTACCTGAGAAGCGAGAAGCTCTTCATGGCCGCGGTCGTCATCCAGGACGAGGCCAACATGAAGACCGCCGAACAGCAGGTGCGTGGTGAACCACACCGCCCCGTTCCCTACCGCACCGTATCGTACCATGCAATACCGTACCATACCGAACTGTACCGTATCGTGCCCTGCCGTACCGTGCCGGATAGGTACGACGACGACGCCAGAAAACAGCACACACCCCTGGTGATGATGATACTTGGGCTGCTTCTTTTGGCTTGTGATACGCATTTCCTGACGCGCTTGACCACACCATGTGAGCTTTGATATCTATGCGTGATCATGCTTTGTGCGCGCGACGTACGTACGTAGGCCCGGCGTGCCCAGGGCAGCCGACTGCGGACGGCTACCCTCGAGGGCGACTGGAAAGCGGTGATCAACCTCATCACCAAGAACCTGTCGCGGTTGCACCAGAAGCGCTTCTACTACGCGGTGTACCGTCAGGTAACGCGAAGATGAGAAGAGAGAGGAACAAGCAAAGGCGTTGGACTCGAAACGCAGACGCTAACTAGCTAACCCAGGCAAGACAGGAGGACAGAGTGGACAAGCAAAGGCCTATTCGAATTGCAGACAAGCCAGCCAGCCCTTTTTTTATTTCAAAACCTGGAGCACTGGAGCTGCTCGAGCGCGCGCCTTACCCCCCCCACTTTCCTACCCCAAAAATTGGATGCGCGCAGGAACACCTTGACGCTTCTGTTGGAGCATTTTTCTAAACGTAGAATCCCTTCCTATCCCACCCACCCCCGTCTAAGTCGGAAGGAACGATTGGCCATCGGTCCTGTGGGGAAAATGATCCGTCCTCTAGAGGATGCGTGGCCAATGGTCTTACAACCACTAGGCACGCAAACATGATGACACCCCCGTTCCGCCGCCGGGGGTAATGGTCTTCCGACTACGGCGTGCACGGATATGAGTACACACAACACACACACCCGCCCTACCATCATTATCCCGCAAATAATCAGGGGTGTTTTTTGACAGGAGTTCCTGGAGCTGATAGAGCGGCAGGAGAGCGTTGTTGTTCGCGTTTGGATAATTGTACCTGTAGAACCCCCATCCCCCATAATTTGGCTGTTGTTTGGCAGGAGTACTCGGAGCTGATAGAGCGGCAGGAGTACCAGGAAGCGTTGTTCGCGTTTGGAGCATTTTTCAACACGTACGAATCCCTACCCCGACCAAGCCCCTGTCCGTCCCCCCCCCCGGCCAATTCCCGCGGCTATTGTTTTGGCAGGAGTACTTGGAGCTGATAGAGCGGCAGGAGTACCAGAGAGCGTTCGCTTTCCTAAACCGCCGGCTTAAGCCGATGGAGGCCACAGCCGCATCAACGCCGAACGAGTTCCTTAACCTCTGCTACCTCCTGACGTGCAAGTCGGTGTCGGACGCCGGGCACTTTAGGTCCTGGGGGGGAGTCTTGGGCGGGAGGGAGAAGCTGGCGGAGGAGCTCGCGAGGTTGGAACTGAGGCTGGTTGTTGTTGTTGTTGCTGTTGCTGTTGTTGTCGTCGTTGTTGTTGTTGTTGTTGTTGTTGTTGTTGTTGTTGCCGGGTTCTCTTGATGTTGCTTCGTTTGTTGGTGTTGGTGTTGGTGTTGGTGTTGGTGTTGGCGTTGGTGTTGGTGTTGGCGTTGGTGTTGGTGTTGGCGTTGGTGTTCGTGGTGGTGTTGGTATGGGGGTTGCGTTTGGTGGTGATGATGCTGTTGGGGGTTACTGTTGGCGCTGGCGTTGGTGGTGGTGTTGGTATGGGGGTTGCTGTTGGTGTTGTCGTCGTTGGTGGTGTTGATTTTGTTGTTATCGACCCGTTTCTTTGCAGCAACGCTCTGCACGTGCTACACACACATACCACACCCCAAGCACCCGTACGACCCCCCCCCTCCCCCCACCCCCTACCCCCGCTGTATACACGCTATATCGGCATTGGCACTGCTCAGATTGGTGGAAGCGGAGACCGTTTCGCTGGCGCACCCCTCCCAGATGCCTCCCAACCGCCTGGTAACTCTCCTGGAGCAAGCGGTGGCGTTTCAGATCGAGAGCGGGCGGTACAATCCAAAGGCGGGTAACCAATAAATGAGCAAATGAAGTGTCCGCTGTCCGCGAGGTCTAAATCAAATACGAGAGCTTCGTTAACGCTTCCTGGGAATCACTAGGAGTGACCACGTGCCTCCCAAAAGTCTTTTTTCCGACTTACATGCCAGTTTCCTCTTCTTTTCTTTCTTTCTTTCTTCTGCCCCCTCTCCCTTCTTTGGTTACGTGTTCTGTTGTTTGTTGACGTTCCGAAGGAGTGGCCCTACCTCTCTTCCTCGTAGCGCACGCACGCTTCGCCGCTTTTTCTTGCCCCCCCCCCCCCCCCCCCCCCCCCCCCCCCCCCCCCCCCCCCCCCCCCCCCCCCCCCCCC